AATTAAATATTTTTCTGAAATACTTTGTTCTTTACATAGTTGAATGTGCTGACAACAAAATCAGACAAAAATTTAAAAATGGATTTGGAGACACACTCAAAATATAGTGGAAAAACACACTACAGGCTGATCCAACTTTGATGTAATGTCCTTAAAACAAGTCAAAATGAGGCTCAGTAGTGTGTGTGGCCTCCACTACAATGTAGTAGTGTGTGTGACCTCCCTACAATGCCTGTGCATGCTCCTGATGAGGTGGCGGATGGTCTCCTGAGGGATCTCCTCCCAGACCTGGACTGAAGCATCTGCCAACTCCTGGACAGTCTGTGGTGCAATGTGACGTTGGTGGATGGAGCGAGACATGATGTCCCAGATGTGCTCAATTGGATTCAGGTCTGGGGAACAGGCGGGCCAGTCCGTAGCATCAATGCCTTCTTCTTGTAGGAACTGCTGACACACTCCAGCCACATGAGGTCTAGCTTTGTCTTGCATTAGGAGGAACCCAGGGCCAACCGCACCAGGATATGGTCTCACAAGGGGTCTGAGAATCTCATCTCGGTACCTAATGGCAGTCAGGCTACCTCTGGCGAGCACATGGAGGGCTGTGCGGCCCCCCAAAGAAATGCCACCCCACACCATTACCGATCCACTGCCAAACTGGTCATGCAGGCAGCAGAACATTCTCCATGGCGTCTCCAGACTCTGTTACATCTGTCACATATGCTCAGTGTGAGCCGGCTTTCATCTGTGAAGAGCTCAGGGCGACAGTGGCGAATTTGACAATCTTGGTGTTCTCTGGCAAATACCAAACGTCCTGCACAGTGTTGGGCTGTAAGCACAACCCCCACCTGTGGATGTTGGGCCCTCATACCACCCTCATGTAGTCTGTTTCTGACCGTTTGAGCAGACACATGCACATTTGTGGCCTGCTGGAGGTCATTTTGCAGGGCTCTGGCAGTGCTCCTCCTGTTCCTCCTTGCACAAAGGTGGAGGTAGCGGTCCTGCTGCTGGGTTGTTGCCCTCCTACGGCCTCCTCCACGTCTCCTGATGTACTGGCCGGTCTCCTGGTAGCGCCATCATGCTCTGGACGCTACGCTGACAGACACAGCAAAATTCTCGCTACAGCTCGCATTGATGTGCCATCCTGGATGAGCTGCACTACCTGAGCCACTTGTGTGGGTTGTAGACTCCGTCTCATGCTACCACTAGAGTGAAAGCACCGCCAGCATTCAAAAGTGACCAAAACATCAGCCAGTAAGCATAGGAACCGAGAAGTGGTCTGTAGTCACCACCTGCAGAACCACTCCTTTTTTGGGGATGTCTTGCTAATTGCCTATAATTTCCACCTGTTGTCTATCCCATTTGCATAACAGCATGTGAAATTGATTGTCACTCAGTGTTGCTTCCTAAGTGGATAGTTTGATTTCACAGAAGTGTGATTGACTTGGAGTTACATTGTGTTGTTTAAGTGTTCCCTTTATTTTTTTTAGAGCAGTGTATATTTCAGCATATATTTTCATTATGCTTCATAGTAACTGTATTTTTTTTTATTTGTGGAGGGAGAGAGTGATTTAACTCCCGACTCTCTTGTGCAGCCTACAAATTACTGAGCAACCTGGAATTTTGTGATTAAATTTGGGAGCTTGAGAATTTTATGTAGACAGAGATGTATATCAGGCTTTGTTTACTTACCATCATGTAACATAGAAAGCAGCATTAACCAACAATACATATTGAAAGGCAAATTGCTATCACTCAGAACATATATTCGCCATATATTTTTCTGATTTTGCATGTTTACACAACAATGTTATTTAGTAGCAGAAGTAAAAATAAGGACCAAAAAAATAAATGTAAATTAAAAAAATATTATTTGTATTTTAACCCCTTAAGGACCAAATGTCTGGAATAAAAGGGAATCATGACATGTCACACATGTCATGTGTCCTTAAGGGGTTAATATTATATTTTTTTCCTTTACATGAGACTATAATTTTTGCTCAAACATTTATTCTTAAAAACAATTTTTTTTTCTGTATAAGCTCTATACTACAGTAAGCTTTTTGTGGTCATATAGAAAGTACATTGCTAAAACCTCGCTTTGGAGTTTCTCCAACATGAAGGAGATTACTCTGGTATAGGTTCTACAGCCCTTAATCAGTACTTTTATAAATATCTCAAACATCTAGATAGAAAACAATCATGATTTTGAAATAAAATATTTCTAATTCTAAATAAAAATAAACTACAACATAAATAGCAACCTTCCCACGCACAACCTTTATCACAGACATGCAGTTTCCACACACTCATTCCCATCACACATGCATGCACAAAAATTCCAACATACACATTCAACCCCCATATGTTTACACACACATACAACACACAGATATCCCCCTTAAACATATATCTCATCTCAAACACGTAGCATTTTCACACACTCACTTCATGTCACATTTTGTAGAAATAGGTAAAGGACATTGGTGGAGAGACCGTGGGAAATGATTGTGGATGGTGGAGAAAAGATAATATGGTGGAGAAAAAGTTGGAATTGATTGAGTAAAGATGAAAGGAAAGGGGAAAGGAAAGGGGACTGGGAGACTGGCAATAAATAATGGTAAAGAGAGCGAGATAAATGAAAAGCTTTATTTCTAGGCTTTATTGGCAACATGAAATAATGCTGCGTAGAATAAGGAACATAGCCAAGTGGGATTGAAGTTGAAAGTAGCTTAAAAAAAGAATCTGGAAAGAGAAAAAAATAGGGGAATATATTACTATCCAAAACCTCTCTCAAAAATCGAGAAACAAAAAAAGTTTTCATCTTTTATATTCTTTTTGGTAAAAAATTTAAAATAGGATAGATGTGTGCCACCATTGCTTAAACTGGCCAGATAAAGAAGTGGAAATGACAAAGAGAGTAGTCAAATAAACATGCCAAAGCCAAGGAGGTGTAGAGCTACACAGAATAGATAAGACAGGCCGAGTCAGGAATACCAGAGAACATGAAATTCAAGAAAGTCAAGAATATGCTCCTAGAATACCAGAGAACAGGAAGGTCAAGAACGAGCTAAGTCAAAATACAATAAAAACAAATACTTGGGATCACAAAGAAAAGCACAACAGAGCTCAAGTTTTCAAGGGGTTTACATAGTGTAAGTGTATATCATGCTGGAATGATGCCAGGTTCTGTGTCAGAAAAGTGATGTGTAGGTGTCATTGAGTAAAGGGACGCAGTGTGGCAGCATCCTGAGTAATAGTCAACCCAAAGATTATGCACTGACTGATACGTGCCACATTATGAAAGGGAGCCACATTATCCTTACAAAATGTTCTGTAAAAACATTTGCACATAACTGGCATCTTCCTCTCTCAAAAGCTTTCACAGTGCCCTAGGAAGGCCTGTGCCTCCCTTCAATATTCATATTATTATTTAAAAAAGTGCCAGCAAATTCCTTAGTGCTGTACAATGGGTGGACTAACAGACACGTATTTGTCAAATGAGCTTTCATGCTAGAGGGAGTGGGGTATATATAGTAAGACAAAAGGTGTATTTAGTGCAAAACAACAGCAACGTTTTGACCCAGCAAGGTCTTTGTCAAGCTTGACAAAGACCCTGCTGGGTTAAAACGTTGCTGTTGTTTTGCTCCAAATAAAGTTGCTATTTTGGCTTTTATCCTTGAGTGCCTGGATCCCTATTTATTTTCTATATCTGTAAGTGAGACCTGGCCGTCCTCAGGTCCTGAGCTCCCTGGAAGTGGTATCCATTATCTTTTCTTTATAATGTGTTTAAGACGTTCAATTATGTGTAGGGAGATATCGATGGATATCTGCATGATTTCAAGAGGCAATGTGGGTTACAACAGTTGCCAAAAGAGGGTTAGGTCACTATCCTGGTGAGCAAGTGGTTGAGCAGCCAAGGTCTATTGAACCGTGTCCAAGGAGGAGTGCTATGACAATGATCGGTGTGAAAGAAAGACTCTTAGCTTAGTATGCCATCACCCCGGAGGCAGTGGCGGATCCAAAGCCTGATCTCGGTAGGGGCACTTGTAGATCATTTAAAGAAATAATCCAGACACAATAACCACTACAGCTCAGTGTAGTGGTTATGGTGTCAACAGTGCCGGGACACCCTCCCAGAGTAAGTAGTCAAACCATTTAAGAACAGTTTGACAACTTACCTGAGGTCTTCTGGGAAATGGGGCTGTAGTAGGGCATAGGAGCAGTGATGTGTGTGAGTGGTGCAATGTGTAAGGGGTGCAGTATGTGAGTGTGTGTGTGTGTGTGTGAGGGGGACAGTGTGTGAGCAGTGTGTGTGTGTGAAGGTTGTAGTATGTGAGTGAGGGCGGCAGTGTATGTCAGGGATGCAGTGTATGTGTGGGACAGTATGTGTGTGTAACAGTTGCAGTGTGTGTATGTGAGTATTGCAGTGTATGTGTGAGTGTGGGCAATATGTGTGTATGGGGCAGTGTGTGTGTATGGGGGGGCAGTATGTGTGTATGGGGGCAGTGCGTGTGTGTGCGTCAGTATGTGTATGGAGGCAGTGTGTGTGTGTGTGTGTGTGTGTGTGTGTATAAAGTATGTGTGTATGGGGGGGCAGTGTGTGTATGGGGGGCAGTATGTGTGTATGGGGGGCAATGTGTGTGTATGGGGGGTGTATGTGTATAGAGTGTGTGATAAGGGTAGGGGGGCTTTTTTTTTTAGAATATATGTATTTATTTTTTATTTAATTAAAATAAATATTCTATGTCCCCCCTCCCTTCTTACCTTTATTGAGGAGGAGGGGGGACATATTTTGTTCCCTGGTGGTCCCAGTGGGATTCCCTGGTGGTGGTGGTAGGAGTGAACTCTAGCCCACGCTCCAGGGCTAGAGTTCACTCTCGCGAGATTTGGAGCGTTGCCGTGGTAACCGCGGCAACGCTCCAAATCACGCTAGAGGAGGACCCGGAGGAGCTGCAGCCTGAGCTCCCGGGTCCTCTCTTCTCCTTCTCCCTCCATCTCCCTCCCCTGCCGGCTGTCAGCACAGTGCCTGCGGACCGGGGAGGGAGATCTGTGATCTCCCCTCCGGTCCGCAGGCACATTGCAGGCTGGTGCCTGCATGTGCTGGCAGGGGAGAGGGAGACTGTCGGATTTCTCAGGGGGGTCAATTGCCCCGTTGCCCCCCCACTTAGTCCGCCACTGCCCTGAGGGATATCAGCAATGATTTTGGGATCTGAGAAAGATTGAATAGCGAACCTTCAAAGAGTGAAGCCACCAGATGCAGCAGGCAGTTGAGAGCTGGAAGTCGGGGTGCCAGATAACTACTGTGGCCATGGTGGTTCAAATCATCCCATTTTAACAATTGTTGAACTGTGCCCCCTCTGATGTCTGGGACTGTGTTCAGGAATGCCTGCCCCGGTCCATCCAAAAAGCAACCACCTTGACAGATGCGTATTAGGACACCCGACTGTCCACCTCTATGGCCGTTCAGGCTATCAGCAATCCCATATCACCTCCCATGAGGGTAATACCTGCTCCTGTGAGAAATTTCAGCACTGGTCCCAATCAGGGACCCCCTCCAGCCCACACTCATCTGCCCAGACAGGCTGGACTCCGGTGCTATGAAAGTGACCAGTTTGGGCAACTCTGGCACAACTATCCCAAGATGCAACCTAGGCCAACCTGAAATCAGGCAACCTCCCAGCCAAGCTGAGCTTCAGCTTACTGTTAATCAGTGGTCTTGGGAAGCTACATCGCTACGGAGGAGCAGCATCGCTAAGGAGGAATCAAGGTTTCTCGATGAAGATTGGCGAGTACTTCACGAGGTGAACCAAGTACAGCGTCTGGTGAAAACCAATATCATCATTGGCAGGCCATATAGGTGAATGGGTTGGTTGCCCAAGGATTAAGGGACTCAGGGCTACAATTATGCTAGTGCAACTTGATCTCATCAAACCGACCAAGAGAACCAGCAGATTGGTAGAGGTCCAGTAGAAGGGGGACATGTGCATCTACTACACACCGCTACGGTCCACCTTGATTGAGAGTCAATTGCTTGGGATGCGGATGTAGGCATTATGAGTAGCCTCCCTGCTGAAGTACTTAACTTACCACCTCGTACCAACTGGAACCTACTGATGCAGCATTTCCAGTGACCAGTGGTGTGGGAACTGGGGCAGCACAAATCACCAAATGACAATTGGTAGTAACCAAGAAATTAAGGGCAGAGATTTTGTGCAATCGCCCATGACATTCAGGACACATAGATACTCAAGTTTCCCCTGGGTTATCGCCATATGAGCTGCTATACGGGAAGAGGAGGAGGGGGCCATTAGACCTAATAAAAGAGCACTAGGAAGGGGAGGCAGAGATGGAAGGGACACCCATAGTAGATTTTTTTTTTTTTTTTATTTGTTTTACATCAGAATTGGACTTAATTTGTGCCTCTTTATCTCAGGAGTAGCTTTGTCAAGTACCAAATCATCATTTGTTTATTTTCCCTTTTATTAAAGGACCACTATAGGCACCCAGACCACTTCAGCTTAATGAAGTGGTCTGGGTGCCAGGTCCAGCTAGGGTAACCCTGCAGCTATAAACATAGCAGTTTCAGAGAAACTGCTATGTTTACATATGGGTTAATCCAGCCTCTAGTGGCTGTCTCACTGACAGCCGCTAGAGGCGCTTCCGCGCTTCTCATTGTGATTTTCACAGTAAGAAGACGCCAGCGTCTATAGGAAAGCATTGAGAATGCTTTTTCCTATGGACTGGCTGAATGTGCGCACGGCTCTTGCCGCGCATGCGCATTCAGCCAGGGACGTCAGAAGAGAGAGGAGAGTCCCAGCACCGAGGGAGCTAGTCGCTGGAAAAAAGGTAAGGGATTAACCCTTTCCTCACCCTTCAGCGCAGCGGGAGTGGGACCCTGAGGGTGGGGGCAGCCTCAGGACACTATAGTGCCAGGAAAACGAGTATGTTTTCCTGGCACTATAGTGATCCTTAACTCATTATCCTAATGCAAGAATAAGAAGAATAGAGAGAAAGAGGAGAGAATAGAGAGCAAGAAAAAAAGGACAGTGTCCAAGAAAGTAAATATAGGCGGGATGGGGGAGGTATATCTGCCTATTTGTTTCCTCCTCGGCTAATTCTTAATCTCCATTATCACAAGCCTCCTAATTGGCTATCTATTCATGGTCCTTCCACTGAGCAAGCCAGGGCTCCCATATCTTAAACTAATGATCTCTTTTCCCCTGAGCTGCCCAATGGATTTTTTTGTGCCATCTTATTTTTCCATTGAGGAAAATCCCTTATCTTAGGGGGTGTTTCATCTGTCAATAATCTTGTTATGTGTGGATCTGCTTCTCCTATTATCCTTCTTAGTAAATTATTACCCTGTCCATTCTGAAACTCCAGATTACAGGCTATAGGGAAGAATACAGATAATCCCGGGGAGAGTCCCCATTTATCTTTAAAACGTCTCCATCTCTGCAAAGTGTGAGTTATAATCGGATGTGTAATTGGTAGTAATATGCTTAACTTACAATTTTGCCAAGGAAGCGTCTGTAACCTAGCCTTAATAATGCTCTGTTCCAAGGCATACCAAGGCCTTTCATTATCTGTAGCCGTCCACTCTCTTATTCGCGCGCATAATACTGCCACGTAATATCTAAATATATGTGGATGCCCAATCCCCCTCTATCAATAGGTAATGTAAGTATATTATAGGTTATCTGTGGAGTTTTATTGCTCCAAATAAAGGATATAAACAATGAGCGCATCTTCCTAAAGAACCCTCTAGGAACCGAAATAGGTAGTGTCTGAAATAAAGAACTTTAGGTAATATCATCATTTTTATAATATTTACCCTGCCTATCAATGAAAAAAAGGGCAGATTATGTTTCTTAAGATCTTCCCCTATATTTCCAACTAGCCTTCCATAGTTCAATGTAAGTAGTTCTTTATGTTATACTGACAGCTGTATCCCCAAATATGTTAAACCTGTATCTGTCCACTTATATTTATATTCCCTCTGTATTTGCTCTTTTGTTCTTTGGTCTATCCCAACCCCCAAGATTTCGCACTTATCTATATTCACTTTAAAAATTGATAAGGCTCCAAATACTTCCAATTCCTTCTGAACATAGGGCAGTGTATATAACGGTTCTGAAATCATCAGTAGCACCTCATGAGCAAAATAAGCTACCTTTACTTCTCCTTGTATATATCTATATCCTTTAATATGTGGATTCCTTCGTATAGCCTCAAGAAATGGTTCAAAAGCCAACACAAAAAGAATAGGAGACAGGGGACACCCCTGGCGCGTACCGTTACTAATATTAAAAGGAGTCAATAATTGGCCATTAACTCAAATATTAGCTGTAGGGCCTCTATATAATGTCTGTATCCAGTTGCATACTTTAGGTCCAAACCCCCAGGCCTCCAATATAGAAAACAGATAAGACCGATCCACCCTGTCAAAAGCTTTTTCAGCATCAATTGCCATTAAAGCTATAGGATTTTTATTTATTGTAGCTCCATGTCATGTATAATATTAAGGATCTTAGTGGTGTTGTCTCTGGCTTCACGGCCCGCGACAAATTCCACTTGATCAGGGTGGATCAGTCCAGGGGGTTTGAGCCTATTTGCTACTAATTTGGAAAATATTTTTAAATCCAAATTAATAAGTGATATTGGCATGTAACTACTACAGAGTTCCGGATCTTTCCTCATTTTATATATCACTGTAATCACTGCCCTCAGCATTGGGGGTGGGAGAGCAGTGCCTAAAGTTAATCGATTCAATGTCCTAAGAAGGTGTGGTCCTAGAATAGTTTGAAATTGTTGGTAATAAAGTGCCGTAAGCCTGTCAGGGCCTGGGCTTTTATTAATTGGTAATGCTTTAATTACTGCAGAAACTTCTTCTAAAGAAAATTGCTCATAGTAGATTAGGTCCTTGAGTTTAGGGATCTCCTTAATGATCTAACTGAAACTGCTCGGGAGAACTTGCAGGCAGCTCATGGTCGGCAGAAGGTGTGGTTCAATCGTACTGCATGTGCATGTGTTTTTTCTGTTGAACAGAAGGTGTTGGTCTAGATCAGGGGTAGGCAACCTTTTAGCAGCACTGTGCCGATATAGGATTGTGATGTCCCGTAGCTTGCCGATCCTATTTTTTTTAAATTGAGGTGTGTATGTTGCCGTATTCTGCTTGTGTTTTTTATACTGTAATTGCTTTGTATTGTTGTATTTGTGCGTATATGAGCTATTATATTGTATATGTTCAGGAGCAGTTTGTGGTATCATGTATGATACATATGAATGTGGGCTGTGTATGGGGGCTGCTTGTGGAATTGTGTGTGGATGGATATGTCACATTGTGTGTTTGGTAGTGTGTATGTGTGGGGGCTGTTTGGGGTATTGCATGTGAGAGACTGCATGTGGGGTTGTGCATGTATGTGGATTGTTAGTGGGTTACGTTTGTGTGGATTGTGTGTATGTTTGTTTGTGGGCTGTTCATATTATTTGTATGAGGGGAGGGTTATTATTTCTGTATATATCTAGCAGTGTGGGTGGCTTCCCTGGGTTCCAGTGGGGACCAGGCTGGCCAGGTACAGATCAAGGACAGGAGCTGCAACAGCAGCTGCAGGCTGCTTTACTACAGTGTGGATTCCCATTCACAAGTGCTGGGAGGAAGTGATCTGAGATCACTTCCTCTACGTGCTGCAATGCATAAATTGAGGATTGTCCTTCACCACCTTTTCATATTAGCAGATATCTGAAGTTTCACTGGGACTCCTGATAGGCCAGAGCCTGTTTGGCTCTAGCAGCCTTGAGTGCCGTGCAAAGACACCTTGAGTGCCGTGCGTGGCACTAGTGCAGTAGGTTGCCTACCCCTGGTCTAGATCAAGGCTGCTGGACTGACCCTAAGACCCAATAAATGTACCATGAGGGTATCCAAAATACAGTATTTTTATTTTTTGAGAAGAATCAAAGATGATACACTTAGTATGACAAATAACTAATGAATATAGAGACAGATTAGAAAAACGTTTTAATAAATTTATATCTTAGAGAGCTAACACTGTTGATATGTTCATAAGGTTGTTTCTATATTTTCATAAGGTTG